TATGTACCTACTTTAAAATAAAATTTTTGAAATGTATGAGATGTATGAAAGAAATGTATGTACCTACATTAAAATAAAATTTTTGAAATGTATAAGATGTATGAATGAAATGTATGTACCTACATTAAAAGATAATTTTTGACATGTATGAATTGTATGAAAGAAATGTATGTACCTACATTAAAAGATAATTTTTGACATGTATGAAATGTATGAAAGAAATGTATGTACCTACATTAAAATATAATTTTTGAAATGTATGCACCGTACAATAACAATACACGTTAAACATTATACCACAGAGTCATACGCATGTTAAAAACAAACTGCTATGATATTAATGAGAAAGGAAAATCAACTTTATGGTATTCGAGTTAGGGTCGATATCTCTCTTTTTTTTAAATACTATTTTAATCTTACCAGTTGCCAGTATTCGAAGACAACTACGATTCGTACTCGATATTTTAAATTATTATGTAATCGATTTTTCAGTACAAATGTAAATAACCAACGACACTAATAATGTACTACTATATTCCGTTCTTTGAAACGGAACACTGCTATAATACAAAATAATGAAAATTTACTGTTCACAACGACTCATTAAAAGCATCATCGAATAATGCGCTGTAATAAAATCCTGTTATCGATTATTCAAAAAAATCGATAATACATGTATTTATTTTTAATATGACAACACTTCATACATAAGTATTATTGGAAATAGTATTACTTGCTTGTTCGGCTATTTTTAATTTACTTAAAAAATTTTTATATGTTTAATTTACAATAATAAGATATTAAGTGCTTATTATTGGAAAATATAAAAAAGACATTTAATTAGGCCGATACAAATGACAACAATGCCATCTATGAAAGCATTTTGAAAACATTGAGCCCCGTATTAGCACTGATTAAATTAATTAAGTACTGGAAAATAACAAAATGAGTAAATATATGAAAATTACTTTTCTAAACGCATTATTTCATTTTAACATGTATATATAACTTTTTAAAAATTGATTAAACATTTTTGTAAACACAGTTTTGTTTTTTAAAACGTTTGCAAAACTATGAAGAATTCCATCGATACCAATCACGCCATCTATATGCAACTTTTAGCAATAATAATGGCTACTTCCTCACGGATTGCCACTGGTTATAGTAACTAACATGTGACACGAGAATTTTATTATGTTATCTGTGGTTACTATACTCCTCCGAAACGGTTTAGCCGATTTTTATGAAATTTTATATGCATATTCAGTAGGTCTGAGAATTAGCTCCTATAAATTTTTATAGGCCCAAGTAATAAGGGTTGTCCACCTCTAACATTTATTTTTTATTTTTTGGACAAAATTTTATTTTTTCGGTATAAAAAAATACATTCAACCATAAATACCCTTCTACCATCAACCCCTATTTTTGAATAGCGGTTTTAATTTAAATCGCAAAACAACGGTTACGATCAGCTAATAATATCTAAATTATGGTTAATAAATACGGTTGCCCCTTTAGTTGAAGGGTTATTTAAATATATTTTGAATACAGGAGACCAATGGTTACACTACCTATTCTCTCATGAATACAAATGCACCGTGCCAGGTATCGAACCTACGAATATCGGAAGTTAAGCGATGTGTTAAACCGCTAGACCGCCGAGGCCGTCGAATATATTTAGTTTATTTAAATAAAAAATATTTTTATATCTAGTACTTTTTTTTTTTTTATTTAATGGGAAGTTTTTATTATAAATGTCATACAAATATACATAATTCCTCAATATCAATTTTCTATATAAACAATTACAAAAAACAATCATTGTAATCCAACGCGGCACATCGAGGCAGCGTACCCAAGATACTGGCAGCGTTGCCTCTTTGAATGGCCATACTTAGCCTTTGGCCAAAATAGCTACCAGCTCTCGGGTCACAAGTAACATCAATGAGCCGCGCTGAAGTATATGTTCTAGTACTTATATTAGGATTATTTCTATTTATAGTGCTTATATTATGGTTGTTTGTATAAAAAATATATCTAATTCAATTTCTATCAGTTACTCATTTAATTTTCAGTTTCAATAAAGTGTCTCATTGCCGGGCAACGACCTCTGTAATTGAAACAATTCAGTAACATCACTTGATGTAACCGCGTTCACTGAACGCGACGAAAATTAGCAAATAATACAAAAAATCTTTTAACCGAGGTACGACTTTATAAAAAGTCATCTGCGTAGATATCAGCATCTGCTTCTTCCTTATCCCATTTATTTGGGGTCAGTGTAATATGTTTTTCTAGGGGGGAAGGAGATTGTCAGTAATGGGGATTGATAACCCCATTGCTAGCAATGTACCATGTCAGGTCGACTGCCACGCGGTTCCCTCTGGAAACCATCGTGTTAAATTCCTGGTGAATTTGTCACGATGGGCTAACTGACCTGACGTCATGCTCATCTTATCATCCTCCACTGGTGCCCCGCCAGCGTAAACCGTTAGCGCAGGCGGGTGCACCATTACATTATCATCTACAAAAAAAAAATATGTTTTTCTGGGGGTACAGGAGGATTGTTAGTATTGTGGATTGACCCTGACGATTATTACTAGCAATAAGATCATTATTGCTAGTAATAATGGTCAGGTTGACCTCCACACGGTTCTCCCTGGAAACCATCGTAATAAATTCTTACTGAATTTGTCACGATGGGCTAACTGACCTGACCGCATGCTCATCTTATCATCCTCCAGTGGTCAGCATAAATCTTTAGCGCAGGCGGGTGCATTCCATTCAAATTCAAAATTCAAAAATCATTTATTCATGTAGGACATTTTAGCCGCTTATGAACGTCAAATTTTTACATTATAATTTTATTTTTTCCCTACCGTCCATTTCTTCTCAATTGGATGTATATACCGAATATAGATCCAATTGAGAAGAACTGGCAAGAAACTCAATTGAATTACTTTTTTTTTTAAAACCAGTTTATTTACAATGTATTTTTATATAGGTTATTACCATCCATAAAAAATATGTTTTTCTGGGGATTGTTAGTAATGTGAACTGATGATCTTATTACTACCAATGATGGTCAGGTTGACCTCCACACGGTTCCCCCTGGAAACCATCGTGATAAATTCTTGGTGTATTTGTTACGATAGGCTAGTTCGTTAGTCCAAATTACTAACAATCCAATTCCCCCTGGCTGAAGGGTTAAAGGAAATAAAGGAAATAAAGGATAGTATAAGAAAAGGAGTTATCCCTTTAGTTTTTAATTTTTTTAATTAAAAAAAAACGTGATTACCATGTCCTTATACGAAAAACTTTCATAGTAAAGTTAAATCTTTAACGAAATAAGTCACGCGGCTCAACTAATGACTCAGTATCCTCAGCCAATGATCCTACATCTAATTTCGTATCAAAAGTTCATACATGAATTTATAAACTATAATTTACTATTCACATAGCGATGTCGTACTTCCGGCGCGGGCTACCGCACCGTTCGTCCGGTCATGCGTTGTAAAAAAACATTAATATTATACCTTTATAGGTTTATCCTCACGTTACATTATACATTTATAATAGTTATTATATAAAATAAAAAATATGAATATATTTTTATAATATATTCGTATATATACGGTTATCCGTAACTGTACATTTTCGTTCTCTTTTTGTGTACTAGTTATCCGCGTAACTTCGTCTGCAATCACTTTTTCCCCGTTATAGCGATATTTTTCTATGCAGCTCCACTCCTATTTGTCGCAGCGTGATATCATATAGTTTAGTTTTGCTTGTTAAATGGGCTATCAACACTAAAAAAAATTCAAAATCGGTTCAGTAGTACCACAGATAATATTACATAAATGCTACCATGTATTACCCCGAAAATCCAAATTACTCTTTATCTTGTCAGTATAGATTAGAGTAATAAATTGAATATATATAAATGTATAAATATTTATAATATTATTAGTACATAAAAAATGAAAAAAATGCATGTCTTTACACAAATTAAATTAGTAAATTAAAATTGTAACAACTGCTTATGCAAATAAAGTTTAATTTAATCAAGCCTGTATTGAGAATTTTTTTATTTTATTGCTAATTTTGATGTTGGTTAACATGCCATAGAGTGGAGCTTATTAAGTTACTGGAGTCCTACATATGGTACGCCTGAGATTTCTTTAATAGCAATTTTCTACATTTCTACAGTAAATATAATATCGATTGATTAGGCGTAGAGTGAAACTTCGGATAATACACGCCAGTTGGGAGAGGGGCAATAAATATTATCTTAATAGAAAACATCACATTATGTATTTTTAATAACGCAGCAAACTCAATGGCTATTATATAAAATCTGTTGAATTCAAACAATTTCAATATTATCTTAAGAATGTGAATTCTAAACTACGCAAATAATTAAATAATTTCCAACAGATGATATGCATTATATAGATTAAAAAATGCAAATTCTAATATTTATAAAACCAATGCCCAGGACTCCAGATTTTAGGCACAACTAATTACAATAATTTAAGTAAATAAAATTCTTCCATGTGATTGCAGCTCACTCACATGCATAAACGAAATATCTCCTTTGGAAAGTACACATTCTATCATGTGGAGATAAAAACCGTCGCTCCTAGGTATATCCTTCAATTCTTGTACCTGACGGGCCTAGGCTGCCAACTCTGAAAAAGGGCTACCACAATAGATCTATGCAGGTCACAGTGCTAGAGGTCTTTTAGCGCCGAGTAATAGCCCAGATCATCATCAGCTTCTTCCTTATCCCATTTTTTAAGGTTGGCGTAATATGTCTTTCTTTTCCATTAATCTTTGTTCGCAGTCATCTCGTTATTTCTTACCATATCTTTCACATAGTCCATCCATCTCTTTTTCGCCCTTCCTCTACCCTTACAACCAATCAAATTCATATGTAATACAATAAAAGTATATATAAATATAATTAGTAATTATTAGTATTAATTATAATAGTCCAAATCACATCACAATAAAAAACAAATTGTTACATCAAATACGAGTATTTATGTAAATTAAAATCACCAATAAAACTATAGAAATCTATTTCTTCTTTCCTGTAACCTTGTTGGGTGGTGGAGGGGTCACCTTGGCTGGTGAGGTTGTCTGAGGGCTGACGTTACCAGTGAGCAGGAAACGCTTTACCCTCGCCTTTAATTCCAAATAAATTCGGTTCTCTCGATTCAGTTGTGGTAACACAGATACCCGTTTCTCATTTTCCTATAAAGCGGAATATGTTTTAAAAATAAACAATTCTATAATAGGTCGCTGCAGGTTCAACCTGCTGAAATTGGGTAACACTGCCAAGTTGATTTACGACTACGGGGCACTATCCCAAACCATAGCCCATCTCCTGTCGTGCCCTTTATCTCCAGCATCATGCAAGAAAGAAGAGCTGATTAAAGCGACCGATTCTGCTATTGAAGTTGCTAAGTTCTCTCATCTAAACATGTTTAGGTTTACCATTGACTCGGAAAAAAAAACTCTATAAGGACACTTGTACTAGCATTCTTGTTCAGAAAATCTTTGATACACAAATAATATCAAAACGAAAATGTAAATGAATGACTACAATATTGAATTGTACAAATAAATAAGTATTAACACAAGAAATTATAATAACTAATTCAGAAGTTAGTCAATGATCTGAAATTCCGATTTGAATCAAAACCCTTCTTTTTGCATCCCCGTAATTGCATACATTTGACTGTACGGGTTAGAACTCATGCCCAGAAAGTATGTCAATGTTCTTAATCTCTAAACTACAGAGTTATTAATAATAATTATTGGAAATACCTGTTTTATGACAATAACATAATACGTCTTTTTATGTGCAAATTGATCAGTGGCGTATGCATATGAAGGTAAATTGAACAAGCCCATTAGCCCACCACTTTCATCGCAAAGATCAAAATTTGTGTATATTCCCAATTTACATTTCTTCCTAATATATTCTAACATAATTCTGACTGGACAGTTGGGGTTCACTAACAGAGTTTTTTCGACGGAAAGATCAGCGTCTGTGGATGTTCGACGAAACGAAGATAGCTCCGGAGAGTCTTTGTAAGCGATGTAAATAAACATTTCGATAGACAAAATACTATATATATTATCTATGATACGTTCCTTCTATAAACAAATAAACAACACATTCCCGTTCGAGCAGTCAGCACTGCAGCTATTTGAAATACCTCTTCTTTCGCTTGCCGAACCTCAACATGAATCTATCTAACCAGCTGCAGTTTTGAAATGTCATATGCACTAAGAAAACTGCTGCAACATGTTTTCTGTAGTCTTATTTTATTCTAATTACATCATATTTTATTATCTGAAGTTGTAAGTGACAATATGAGCTTCTAATTAATATGTACAATCAATTCCTTGCTAAATTTGATACAGTTTTATTTAAGAAATAATTTGTTTCAAGTGGCACTGCCTGGATTTCTCTCTATTCATTTAAGTACTGTCATATTTGTGTCACTCTGCAACATGTTTTTTTAAGTATCATTTTATGTTTTATTTAAATAAGGTTGTGAGTAAATAGTTTTAATGCAAAACCGAGAAATTTTATAATTTCTTTATTTGCAATGCAAATATTCATGAAAGTAATAGAATGTTTTAAATACATGCATTCTAGGAATAATAACTGATGCATAGAAACGTATGATATTTTTATTCGTTAGTGTAGTAGTTTGAAATATGTTTCAATTATAAATACTGTTGCCCAGTTAATAGAAATGATTAATTTGTATAAAAAAAGTGCTTTTAAAAGTGTTAGAAATATGCTATATAATACTATAATTATATAGTGGTCGAAATTAGAATATATTCCATTTAAATTCTAATTTAGAATATTATAATGGTTCTATTGACAAGACTATACTCTATAATCACTGGTACTGGCTGTCGCACAGGCAATAAATAAAAGAATATATATTTTATTGATTTACTATATTTTTAACACATACTTTTAAAAAATATTAGCATTCTGCACTCCTTTCCTATATAAACTATAAATGTGCGATATTTCATACACCTCCGTCCACGCAGTTTTCGTAAAAAGATGCACAATAAAATTTCCTTCGCGTATTAATCTTAATAATATTATAAACGCGAAAGTTGTGAGAAAGGATGGATATTTCTTACTCTTTCACACAAAACCTACTTAACGGTTTTTGATGAAACTTTACAGTAATATAGCTTATACATCCGAATAATACATAGGTTATAACTCAAAACGATATGTATGTAAATTGGGCGAAATGTCAAATTAGTGTGACGAAGACGACGAAAGACGAAGCTGCGCGGGTTAGTTAGTACGAGTATATAGATAATGTCAACTACGGTACATCACTATTTATAAAGCCATGCCTGACATCACATCACGCCCAAAATGTAAACATAAAGGTCGACACATACTGGACCAAAGCACCGCCATCGCGCCACCTTGACCCTAAAACAGTTGCGTTCACCCGCATTGCGAGCATTTCCCAACGAGTGGATTCTAACTCAAACGAATTATATTTCATAAGTCGCAGATTGCAGCAAGCAGTGCACCGCCGCCGGGCCACTGCTATAACATTACTGTCATAGCGTCCAACTGTGGAACACGTTCGATATCAGAATCGATTCGATATAGTGATGTGATTAAATCGATTAATCGATTATGGATTTCGAAGTTTTATGATCAACGGTCATGACGAGTTTAGCCGCGTCTGGTGTGGCAGCCTGGCCGCCACCGGGGCCTACAGCCAGCTCGTTCCAGTTCCATCATCAGGGATCGAATTTTGTGATATTCCTGATATTGTTCGCATTGTGCATGATGGAAGTGGTCGTTCTGAGGATCATCACGGAGGAGCAGGCGAGGGAGCAGGGCGGATCGAGTGTGACCTCTATGTGGTTCGACCCTGATGAGGAGTGATGTGATAAGTGACAGTGATGTGATGATATTGGTGATAAGTGTTTGTGAAGTGGATGATCGAATGATAGTGAATGTTAGCTATAATGTATCATTAATTAAACATTTTGATATATGTATCAACTATATGTACATAGATTATTTTTAGTACTATTCGAAATGCATATAAGCTATATTGTTTAATATTGGTTCGTCTGACTTATTTTCAATTGTTTACAATAGAATTATATTGATCAACAGATTTCAAAAATGAAACAGTTTCCATTTTAGTTAATAAGTTTTTATTTTACTACGCGATAATCTTTAGCAATTCAAATCCAAATTCAAAATATCCATATTCATGTAGGTCTATTACAGACTCTTATGATATATCAAATCTACCGTCAGTTCCGAATGATTTCGAGATGAGAAGAACTGACAAGAAACTCAGCACTTCTTTTCAATACACAACCGAATGTGATACTTTTCAAATAGTTTATGTATGTTTATTAAGAACTTGAAAGTCGATCGTTTATGTAAAAAAAAAATACTCAACATTTCGCTGTCATAATAATTGCGATCAGTTTTACAATTTATGAGATATTTGTGCCATTAATCATCATCATCACACTTGAGTCCACTGCTGGGCATAGAACTGATTTATATTAACGATGTTTTAACGATACTTTACATTAATTCAATATATGTATATTTTCTTGTTATAAAATCGAACCCGCGACACGCTGTTTCAAGCAGTCCACTCGTACCACTAAACCTAGAAAGTGATATTACAATGTTTTAAAATAATTTTAAAACAGGCAATTGTATATGTATATGGTAATGATAGTTACGTAAAGGATTAAATAAATATGTTTGTTGAAATAAACTGTTTGCTATTGTAATTACTTTAATTATGCATTATTCATATAAGGCACACTTTACACTATTCTGATAGTGTAAAAGGTGCCTTATACTTCACTATTCTTAAGCTCTGCAGGATACTTATAATAATGGTTTTAAAATTAGGAATGAAAATGAAATTATAACGGCCTCGATGGTCTAGAGGTTTAACACACCGTTTTACCTTCCGAGGATCGTGAGTTTGATCCGCGCACGGTACAAACATTTGAATTCATGAGTATGATCGTGCTTATTTTTTTTATGCATGACAATGGAATGGTGCACCTCCGCTAACGGTTTACGCTGGCGGGGCACCAGTGGAGAATGATAAGATGAGTATGAGGTCAGGTCAGTTACTACATTGTGACAAATTCACCAGGAATTTATCACGATGATTTCCAGGAGGAACTGCGTGGAGGTCAACCCGACATGGTACATTGTTAGCATTAGGGTCAACAGTCCACATTACTGACTTACTGACAATCCCTTTTAACCCTGATTGGGCGATTAGTCTGGGTGTTTTCTATGTCGGTATCATATGTATGTATTTACAAATAACAGATTCTGTTTAGCTTGGGACTAGATGGCGCTGTGTAAGTCGTCCAGAGATAATATTACTATGTATACCATAGTATATTTGTCTGCCTGTCTGTCTATTATCTTTTCAATACTGAACAAATCGTAATGTAAAACACTAAGATTGATTGTATTACGGCAAAGTATATAGGTTATCTTTCACTAAAAAAAAAGTCTGACAATGCCCTTGTAAATTTATTTTTAAATTAACCTGTGTGATATACAAAATTTGATTCAAATCTGTCAACCAATTTAACAAAAAACTAATTTATGAAACAATCACAAAAATTTAAAAAGGTTACTTTTGTTTTCAGTGAGATGCGTTTCCACTTGTTGAAACCAAAACGTTCAAAAAGAAACATACACAATTACATGCAAATGTTCTGTGTTAAAAAATTTAGTTATACAGATTCATATAAAAAATTATTTATTATATGTGACGCAAGTGTGAAGACGGCGTTTATATTTTCCCGCGAAAATGAAAGGCGCCACAGATTATAAAAATTGTCGCTGCAACTCACTAATCATAGCTGTATGTCATAAGTCAGTATCAACTACATAAATGCTGGCCGTTAACACTTGATATTCTATTTCACTTTTCTTATTTAATTACTTTTATTTTTATTTATACGTATAACTATTTGCTATTATTTTTTTCAAATACTTAAATCTCTAGCTTTATTAATATTCATGCTCGGTTCATATTAGCAAACACATATAATGTAAGAAATAGTATTTTATTGTGATATATTTGATTAAATATACATTACCCAAATAACTATTTTTCCTTTTAATTGCATGCGCTACATTTCAATTGAACGTACTCATGTTTATTTGTTACAAACTGCGTAATTCATTAGAATATGTAATGAATTAGGTAGTTGGAAACACATTGTGTAATGAAAATTAATCATTAATCAACATTCTGTTTGCATATATATGTAACCTATGTATTGAGGGACCCGTGCCATGGTGTGGGGGTTGTCAATGTCAAATCAATGTCATAATGATGTTAATTTCAATCGGGAACCACCCTATTTTTATAGAAAAATCGACGAGAAAAACTCGTATATTATTTATTTCTTCAATTTCGCTGTTGATTTGTTTCAAATTCAAATTCAAAAATCATTTATTCATATCTTAATTATTTTTTTCTCCCAATGACTGAATTATCTGTAAATTTTTTTAAACAAACAATTTACGATATTTCTTTATACTTGAGGAAATAAAACATGAGATGAACCCCTTCATGTGGCAGAGAGAGAAACCGCTTGTTCCTTTGGAACCCAGCTGTAAGTCAAAGAGGTTCTAATGATTTGGGAGCCTGGTGTAAGTTTAAGAGACTCCTTGCGTCGTACGTCAATACTCACCTTCACCGTTCGTGTTTCTCACCCTGCCCAAAGAAATCTGGTGGAAGCCTGCTAATGCTTTAGGTACACGTTCTTCTACAGACCTTACTGCACTTCTTCAGGCCAAGAACTTTTATGATATTGTAGGAAGATTTTGCTAGTATACCTCTCGCTCCCACTTCGACTGCATGTATAATAAATTAACCAATTAGCATTTTTAGTTAATTCGTTTATAAGTTCGTAATATTTATTTATTAGTAATAATAAGGTTAATATTTAAACATGCAGCTTGTAAATTTACAAGTAAAATTTATATTTGCTTGCATTCGTAATTTATAAAATGTTAAAATGACCCCTCGAGGTGGCAGTGTTGATGCAATATAATTTAAATTTGTAAATAGTATTTTGGAAAATAATATAACTATATATATATTAGAGCATTTATAATGTTATAGGTTATGTACATTGATTAAATTTTTTTAGTTTTGCAATAGCATATGCTGGTGGTCACTCTATTCTCCCAAATTTGAATTTGAATGAATCTGTATTATTGTAAACATGTACAACATTTATTTAAAAGGAATACGAGTTTTTCTCAGTTCTTCTCATCTCGAAATCATTCCGAACTGACGGTAGATTTGACATATCATAAGAGTCTGTAATAGACCTACATGAATTTTGAATTTTGATTTTAATTTGAATAGTGCAAATAATATTTTAGAAGAAACTTGGTTATCACAAAAAAATGTTAGAGTGAGTTAACCTAAAACGATAAACATGTTATTGCGGACTTTTTTTTTCGAGATTTTGAGAGGAGAACAATTCCACACACATATATTTTGCATAACTGGCCTTTACAGCTTCACCGGACGTTAGGGGGCGAGTGCAGATGGCACTCCAAACCCGCGGAAGGACTTATGGAGCGGCTGAAGGCCATCTCCCGCTTGACGGATACGTCTGAGGGCACCGCTAGGCGTTCATACCTCGTCGTAATATCGATCCCCGTTTGAATCGGATGAGATATCGATTCGGAGGGGTATACAATTATGTGTGAAATAAAATAGACAGATAAATACTTTACATTCTGTTTGTCTGTCTCGTGTGTGCTGGCCTCACTGAAAATCAGCGCTGTGGTATTGTGTTTCTCACAAATACATCCAGCGTACCTACTGCAGCCCCACTATGGCAGTGCGTTTCAGTCGTACCGTCGACCAGTAACAATAACTTTATTTTGTATATATTTTATTACATTAATAGCGAATCATTCTTAATATATATATATATTAAAAATTATTATATTATAGATATATATAGCTGTTTTATTCAAAATTCGAGCAAACGTGGTATCTAACTGCCCAGTATAACTTAGTTATACTACAGTATAAATGCTGAGTGGGAGTCACATTCAGCGTTACCAGTAACGTACGTAAGTACCGCGTGTTTTAGCTAAAGCTAAAGTTGTATAGTAATCTATACATATAAATAAAATTGTAGTGTCTCTTTATAATATTGAAATAATCGTTTTTTACTAAATGCATATGAATATAAATACGGTACATAAAACAAAATAACATTTTTTTAAATTTTTGTCTGTCTGTCTGTTTGTTCCTGCTAATCTCTGAAATGGCTGGACCGATTTTGACGGAACTTTTATTGGCAGGAAGCTGATGTAATAAGGAGCAACTTAGACTACTGTTATTTTAGAAATATAAAGTTAAATTCCACGCGGTCGAAGTCACGGGTACAGCTAGTATTAAATAAGATACAGTAAATAGGAATACTGTACTGCTGTATAGCTGAATCAATGTCTTTACTATATATACATCAGAGAAATAAACGTATAAATTCCATAATTCGCAACACAACAGGTTGAGGAATCTGGTTTTTGCAGATAAATTGTAGCGATAACCAGTATCGATATAGTTAAGCAACACGTGTGCCAAGAATTACGCGCCCGCTGACAGGTTCGGGAGATTGCGTTGCACATATGATTATACAGGTAAAATATAGATAAATATCGATACTTACTTGTTGGTCTGTGAAGATTTTCAATATATAAAAATTTGAATTGAATTTATGCAGTTTAGGTTTTTTAATATTAATCTGTTTGAATAGACTATGCCGCAGAATTTTGATCTAAATATATATAACTCAAAGGTGACTGACATAGTGATCTATCAACGCACAGCCCAAACCACTGGACGGATCGGGCTGAAATTTGGCATGCAGGTAGATGTTATGACATAGGCATTCGCTAAGAATTTTGAATAAGTCTACCCCCAAGGGGATAAAATAGGGGATGAAAGTTTGTATGAATCTTTGTCAATTTTCAACCGACCGGGCTGAGACTTTGCATGCATAAAGCGGCTATGACGTAGGTATTTTCTAAGAAAAATTTTGCTAAATTTCACCTCTAAGGGGATAAATTAACGCGAGCGAAGCCGCGGGCAAAAGCTAGTTTTGGTGTAAATGTAGATAGGACTTAGGAAAAGGAGATACGCAACTAGAAGTACTAATCACGATACGACCAATAGGTGAGTTGCATTGATAAACAATAATAACAGTACTCATTGACAATTCACACAGCGCCATCTAGTCCCAAGCTGAGCAGAGCTTGTGTTATTTTTTTTTTTTATAACACAAGGGACAAACGAGCATGCGGCTCACCTGATGGTAAGTGATTACCGCCGCCCATGAGCACCCGCGACACCAGGGGAATTGCAAGTGCGTTGTCGGCCTTTTAAAAAGGAATAAGTTCTTTTCTTCAAGGTTTCAATAATATTTCGGTTCAGAAATACCATTGCTGGAAGATAATTTCACAATGTCGTTGTGCGTGGTAGTGTTATTACTAGCACAAACAAGATAATTGTAATAATAATAATATTTCAGGACAAATCACACAGCGCCATCTAGTCCCAACCTAAGCAGAGCGTGCAGTGTTATGGGTACTAGACAACTGATATAAATACATGGATACATTTTTTTTTGTAAATAAATATATATTATACATAGAAAACACCCAGAGCGATACAAACAATCATACTCATGAATACAAATGTTTACCCCGTGCGAGGAATCGAACCCGCGACCATCGGATAGTAAAGCGGTATGCTAAACCACTAGACCACCGAGGCTGTCATTGTACTAGAAAACTTGCATTCATACTTAAACATTTTTGTAAAATCCATACATAATATATTTAGAAAACCCAGACCAATACAATGCAATCATACTCATGAATACAAGTGTTTGCACCGTGCGAAGAATTGAACTAGCGACCCTCGGAAGTAAAGCGGTGCGCTAGACCGCTAGACCACCGAGACCGTCTGATGAAATGTTGCATAAATGGGAAAAAGTAATGCAGGTGATCAGCTAGATTATAAATGTATGGATTATAAAAAAAATGTTTAATTATTAATTCAGGTATGCTGTCGATTTCAAAAGACCTTCACGTGTTCCTGATTTCCGTGTTTATTTCTACAAAAATTCATGGTCACAGTAGAAATTAGGAAGTAGGAGCTCTACCTACTATATATAATATATTATTTTTTAGTGTTCCGTAGGTTCTAAATGCTTATGACGTAAAAAACATTAAGATTGTAAAAATCGTCACTTCACGATACCTAAACATGATGGGAAAATTTAAGTTTAATTTTGTATAAAAAAAAAGAAAATACCCAGAACAATGCAATCATACTAAATAAACATGTTTTCATAGGAATCGAACCCGCGACCATTAAAAGAAAGACGGTGTGCTAAATGGTTACACTGCATATACCGTTTATTAAACATTTGGTAAATATACAACAGTTTATTAATAAACATTATTGGGTGTTTTTTAAGTAGAATATATATGTACTTCCAAAAAATAATATCTATGTATTTATATCAGTTGTCTAGTACCCATAACACAATCTCTACTGTTCTTGAGACTAAGATAGCGCTGTGTGAATTATCCTGAGATATTATTATTATCTGATTACAATCAGTAGTTTCAGGAATATTCTCTATTACGAATCATTACAATCGTAATTTCGTTGTTAACATTGCGTGTAATTTAATTAAGTCGGTGTAATTAATGATCTTTCATTACGGAGCTGATTGCGCTTCTATCGTGCACCTTATTATCTACGAGATTTTGGTGTCAGAGCGATATTAAATTACAATAGATCACGAGAGAACTTGACTTTGTAATCGTATTGTAAAAAGTCTACTGCGTTGGTGACTGTCTCATCTAATTCCGACAGTATCTTGCTTCTACATGTTTAAAAGATTTCTTACTATAGCATAGAGGACAAAAGAGCTTGCGGCTCAAGTGATGGTAAGTAATTACAACAGCCCATAAGCACCCGCAACACCAGGGGAATTGCAATTACGTTGCCGGCCTTTTAAGAAGGAATAAGCTCTATTCTTGAAGGTTTCAATAACGTATTGGTTCGGAAATACCATTGCTGGAAGGTGATTCCACAATGTGGTGGTGTGTGGCAAAAAGTTAATGAAAAAAGCATGGTTCATTCTTGAACCACTATACATCCTTAAACGGAAACACATCTTACAAAATAAACTATAAACTAAAAATAAACAAAATAAGCTGACACAAGCACCCATGCACTACTAGTTTCTACAAAGCGTCCTCAGTAAAAAATCATTATGATTATCTTATTATCGATCTTAATAATGCTTAAATTCACAAACGCTGTTGCTGAAGAGAAAAAGTAAAGTTTTTACAAAGTAAAAGAAACTCTATTACACTGAATTAGGATTAAGTTTTTTATTTAATTCCTCTACCTCTTTGCTGCAGCATAGGTTTCATGCCTGTGATGGTCAAACTTAAAACTCAAAATCGTTTATTCACCTAAGACTTTTTGTTTGATATCAATATTCAGCGGTCTAAGCCCAGGTTCGAACCTCTACCTCAGACTCAACTCGTTTCCGTCAGGCAGCAGTTGGCCTTCAGCCGATCCTTAATTCCTTCCGCGCGTTTGGAGTGCCATCGCCACCTATCGGCCGGTGAAGCTGTACAGGCCAACTGCCAAAAACATTAGAGTAGTCCGAAAAAAACATCAATATTCGGCTGTTATAAAGTTATACCTGTTTCTCCCTATACTTTTCTGTAGACTTTCTGTACAAAATGACATTTTTGCTTCCAGATCCGATCGTGAACATCAGAGGCGATGCATTTCGGGCGCAGACGACGGCGTGTGTCAATGTTGTGGCGGTGATAAGCACGGTAGCATTGTACCCTGCATCTGTCAACCACACACGTACGTACAGTAATCTATATATCCCCCTTCGATCGATTCCCCGTCCACCCCTCCGATCGATCTCCCATCCAATTCAAACGGGGATCGGAATTACGACGGCCTGAGCCGAGATGCAAACCCCTAGCGGGCCCTTAGACTAAAGTTATGTCCATCGGGTGGGAATGGCCTTCAACCGCTCCATAAGTCCTTCCGCGTGTTTAAAGTGCCATGTGCATTCGCCTCCTAACGTCCGGAGAAGCTGCCTGCTGCAGCCAACAGTATTAGAGTAGTCCGAAAAATAATCTATACATGAAGCGAACACTTTGTACCTCTCTTTTACGAAAATTACGCAGACCGTGGAGTATGAAATTTCGCACAAGTATAGTTTATTCAAATTCTAAATTCTTCATTTAGGTAAAACAATTTTTATTAACTTCTATATGTTGTTGAAACCTCCTTTTAAGCGCAAAAATGGCTGTATCAGGAGGGTCCGTAGAGCTCATTTATATAGATAAGGAGTACGAATGCTATTTTTTTTAGTTATGTATAAAAAATACATTGCTATAAACTTTTTCAAATGCATTTCAGACCGCAGAAGTTCGAATCGGGCGCGTGGTTCCTGCGACAAGTTCAGCGAGCAGTCAGCCTGATGCCGTGGACCCTCAGCACTGAAAAATTGGAGCAGATAGGTTGGTTACTAATCCTTCTTGATATTATTAACTAATTTGCGATAGAGTCCTTTTCTTCAAAATACTCTAATACCTTATTAATATACGATCTCGGTGATCTAGAGGTTTCACCATCGCCACGCCATCGTGATGTCAGAAGTGCTGTTCGTGTACATAGGAGACAGCTCCCACTTACCGTCAGCTTGAATGCTATTCGAGTTAATTAAAAAATGTATCCATCATTCCGTTTGTCTCTAGAATGTTCGAAGTAGTGATTATTATTTTTAAATTGATTTTAACATCTCCAGGATGTCGAAGAGGCGATGGTTTTTAATTGATGGGTTTGCGCTTGATCTTATGTCATCTAGTGGGAAATGATGGTGAGATCTATGATGTATTGCGCTTACCCAGAAGAAATTTATTCACCGTAGGCTTGAAGAATCCGGGTTCTATTTCTCCGGGAACACGAAAGCTATGAAGTGTTCCACTCACTCAGTGCGAGGAAGGGGATTGTTAGTAATGTGGACTAACAACCCCATTGCTAGCAATATACCGTATCAAGTTGACCTCCACGCGGTTCCTCCTGGAAACCATCGTGATAAATTCATAGTGAATTTACCAGGATTCGCCAACTGACCTGACCTTATGCTCATCTTATTATCCTCCATTGGTGCCCTGCCAGCGTAAACCGTTATGGCAGGCGGGTGCACCATTACATTGTCATCCGTAAGAAAAAAACTCTTTGGCAGTGCGTATTAGATATGACGATGCGAACTGCTCATTGCGTAATTTCCATGTATGATGTGTTTGTCGCATTGGTTATGTTATAAAAAAATTCCACCGGTTTTCTTTCAGATGAAGAATGTGAAGGACGAGACAGTCCAGGCGAGGGGCAGGAGCTGAGGAACGTGAGGGAATTCTTGGAGACACTTTCAGCAAAGCTGGCCGGCGGGCAGCTTGAAGGTACCAGCGTGGCCCCACTCTACAACCACCCAGCCTGTGAGTCACTACTTTAATACTCTCTTTAATTTCTCTATACTTTGTGTTTATTTTTTAATTTTCTATAGTTGCTGTTTTTATTGTTTTTGTTTTTTTATTTTATATATGTAATAATAACACATGAAGTTATAAGAATTTATTCAATGAAATCGTTAAAGGATATATAAATTTTACAAAAATATAACAAAATTGCTTTATTTTAATTCGGTTAGCGGTAATATTATAAGTAAATATAAGTAATAATGTTATAAAAATAAATAATTACACAATTATTCTAAGAAAATAATATTCTTTCCCGAGTAAAAACGTAGTGATTACTTGCCTAGTGGAGACAAAAACTATTTTTAAATAAAAACATCCACTCTAGATTTTTAAATATAGAACGAAAATATCGATAACTGTAAGCTGAATGAAACCGTATATTTTGTTACCTTTGCTTACCTAACTTTTTTGTAAAAATAATACATTTCGATTGCACTCCTCCTCTGGGATTATAAGAACTATATTTATATATATAAAAAGTGCAATAACCATGTCGTCTTTACGTTTCCTTTCACTTTAAACGCAGCCATCCAAGGCCGCTGTAACTGACCCACTGGCTCACCGATTGCAGTAAATTATACTTGCAAAAGTAGCATAATATTCTGTAACTATAAGCGATGTCATTATGTTATCATCGACAGTGTTTTGGTAAAGTATATCAAGGCAATGAGTTAAGGTTGAGTTCCGACAACGCGATTTACGATTGCGATAGAAAAATATATAGTCTCAATTATTAACTCACACATTTGTATATTTACTAATATGTATTTATATATAAACTATTCATTCGTAATATTATTTATAATCATATTTACTGTATATTGTGAATTTACGTGATTGTCCAAATAAAGCAAGATAATGTATTTGGGGAACAAGATAATAGGTATATTACACAGCTGTGCAACAGCTATAATTACCTAAATAATAATTGTTTGGCTTTAGACTAGCAAGATAATTATTATTTAATATAAATTAAATTTTGTAATATCGACTTCATTATTCTAATATTTCATTGTAAACAAATTCATAACCTAAATTAGAAATAAACAAGCATTATAATTCTAGTAATAGTGATGTCGAATGGTGTATGATATCATAGTTAATTAATATGACATATTTTATAATGATTTACTGCAACTTTGAGTAGATTCCAAAGTTCATTAAATTTTTTCTCATTCAAAGAATCATTTCCAATTCTTTTCATTCATTCCCTTTTATTAAGAAAACCGGCACTCATTGGAACGACTACAAGCGCTTACAAACCTTGTCTTGCCAGTCTTCAGTCTTGCCACACGCTTTTCGTGACGGCTTGTTGAGTTTCACCAAGCGCGTGGCCGCGGCATTACGTTTGTCGCGCTATTGGAAACTAACCTTAAATTTATATTACACAGATACTATAATGTTATTTTATCTGTGCTATAATGTTATGTTGTCTGTGGTAGATGTGAGAATGCTCGAGCGATACCACGCGCCGTTGAGGAATACCCTCGCGTCGCTTGCCACCGCGCTGAGAGACGCGCTCACACGTAAGCTCGCGTGTATAACATATAGCATGCACTGTGTGACAATAATTTTGTTTGGAATGCACTATAATCCGGTAGGTTCGTGCATAGCGGCCCAACGGGGTAACTGAGCAGGGTGGAAGCAGATATGAACGGTACTAAACACTTTCATTCTCGCAGGCATCTTAAGCCTAATTAAGATGCTGCATCCATTTGGATGCTGCTCAATTAGAAATCAAAGCATAACTTCAAAGATAAGAATTCGTTTTTAATTTTATTTTGATTGGTTATAAAGTATACTTTAAAAGTTGTGTGAATATTAATTATTATTTTTTTACGTGAAGATTCTGTTAATATAACTCATTTGTTAGTCAGATATGTTTTTACAGTCCATTTTAATATTACTATATTAAACAAATCAGAAGAATTCCAATATAGTCATTAAATAGGTCTTCATCTAATATTTTTTTAATGATCCATTTAAAATTTAAAATGGAATAACTGTTTCGCGATTTTACTACAACCTGTAGAAGTAAATAAAGAACATTGGGAGCAGCCTATGTATCCCAATCATTTAACAGAATAAAATAATAGAATCGAACTACTCTGTAATAAGTTATGCCTATTCAACCATCTTAGTGTTCATTCTTTTAATGCTTCTATAAAGAACGCTGTACACGAACCACTGGACTATTGTTACAAATATACTCGTATGACATATCTACACCTTCTTCTTGCTAATTCTGTGTGCCCACAATTGTTAACTCTGTTGATGCTAATTTTCAAGTATTTATGCATGATCTTTGTGATGTCCTTTCGTTAATCCTAAATATATACTATCTACAAATTCCTACCTACTTATCTTGGCGTGATCTACTTCACTTAAAAAATTAAGGTTTAATACCTTTATTTTTTGTTTATACATATATTATTTAAAAATATATTAAGGACTTTGCGAAGATTAATTTAATTTAATATTATATATATTAATTTCGATTCAATTACTGGAATTGTTTAGTTTATTTTAATTATTCCATGCAATAAAACGCCTACTTGTTTGTTTATAGCAATTTGCTAGTATGAGAAATTGACGGTAAGTGCTGGCAGTGACTTTGTAACCTAATTTGTACTGTTTAGTACAAATTAGGTATTCAACAACACGTCAATATAACATAATAATCGAATAAAACATCCATATTCTCTGTACTGGATATATACAATATAAGCAAATCTCCTAAGAATAATATTACGTTTAATAATTATTTTTTATTATAATGAAAAAACACATTACCACCCATCCACATTTACCTTAAAGAAACCATTGTAGCCCAATGGTTTGCTGTCCTAACCTACATCTTAAAGTCCTAAGTTCTTTAGTAGATCTAGAAGACACCAAAAAAATTATGTTTCGATTTATATTTCTAATTGACTCACCGGTGATAGAAACTCTCGCCCTTTGCGATTATGGATTCAAATTAACCGAACCAAATAGGGATATTCTCTACAATATTGATACTTGAAAATGCCTCTGACTATTCCACCTGAGATTAAAAGTCTTCAAATATACTACATACATTAAACAATAACATTTTGGAGTCGCTCAAGTTTACTCAGTTGTTCTTCAGTGAGATTTACATAGCATGAATCTGCATAATCTAGGATTGGAAGTAACAATGAATGTGCTAGCGCAGTCTTGATATCTTCAGGCAATAATCAATGTCATGCCCGTTAAAGGTGATAGGCGGGAGACTCGTTCTATTTAATTTAGGCATGAAATATGGCCTTCCAATAATGATGCAGTGTTCTTTCTGTGGATTAATAGTAAGGCCATAAGCTACAGTTTATGGCCTTACTATTAATCCACAGCTTATGGACTTACTATTGGATTAAACTCCAGCTGGCGATATAGAGGAGGTCAACATTATATATTTCTCTAAAAAAAGTTATTTCAAGTTCCTTGCATGGATGAGGGATCTGCTGACTGACCGTTTATTGTTATCCTATCATTGCAGATACTGTTAGTGAAGGTGAGTTCACAATCAGTTATCATCCAATAAAAAACTTTTCTTACTAAATAAGATTAAACGTACATATAAACGTACTATACAAGTAAGTAAGTTCATGACATACAGAACAGTTCAAGCACTTTCATTGCAATTAAAAAACCCATTGACCCAGGCCATTAACATTCAATTCTCTATAACTTCCAATACATAGAGAAAAGATGTATGAGAAATATTCCATTTGCATAGTCGTTAGCGTAAGAAAGAATTAATAAAAAAGTGTCGATTCTAGAGTCCCGTACAGTTAAGTAATAACTTAGATAGTTATAATGTAATGAATTCGCTAATGTTTCTGTCTGACTGCGTTTATATAGGGTTTATAGGGTTGCCACAGATAATTTATGAAACTTTATTTAAGTAAATATAAATATATTTTACACAAGATTTATACAGAAATGAGAAATGACGTTCAAAAGTAAATAATTATGATATGAATTCTTTATTGGATACTTGAACAGAGATTAAGTGAGTAGCGGTTTCTATGTTGATTGTCGCATGCCTAATCCTTGTTGTTAATTAAATAAAATTAAATCAATATTTATTTAAAAGAGCAACACACAAGTTTCTTGCTTATTCTTCTTGTTATGAATCTGCATTCCGAATAAGCTGTAGAATCAACAAATTTGACTATTCAAAAGTGCTTATATTAAGTTTATTTGAATAAAGATTATTTCTATTTCTATTTCTACTAGCTATCCGCCCCGGTTTCACACGAGTGTACATGTATGATACATATAAACCTTCTTTTAATAATTACATGGTATAAAACAAAGTCGCTGTCCCTGTCTGTCCCTATGTATGCTTAAATCTTTAAAACTACGCAAGGGATAATGAAGTTGTTTTTTTAATAGATAGAGTGATTCAATGGGATGGTTTATATATACAATACATGCACACCCGGGCGTAGCCGGGCCGAGTAGTTAATAAATTTATAAACGTAGGTGACAACCCTAATGACGCCGCATCCGATACGGTCCATTCGACGCCTTTATCATATTATGAATTGCACACGTCCATATATAATGGGCGGACATTGGCAGTGGCCATTCTAACGAGTCCACGATCGTATAAAGAAATGGTGGGTCATAAAAAAAGTAAGAACAATTTTTTTACTGTAATTGGAATACCAAACTAATGACATTGTTTGATGGAAACGGGAGTTTAAATTTCTATTATTACTGTATTAAATATTTTTTTATGTAGGTTATAGATTGCTATTTGTTGCCCGGTACTTCGTCCGATTGGAATTTAACTTTTATGTTTATTAAAACAAATTATTTTTCTAAAATTCAAAATTCACATTTTAGCCGCTCAAATTTTTTACATTATAAATTTAATGTTTTCCTAACCGTACCTACTAAAATAAACGAAGCCTATGTTACTCCTTATAATCTCCTCCTTATAAGCTATCAGCGAGTAAAAATCCCGTGACAATCGATCTAGCCGTTCCAGAGATTAGCAAGAACAAACAGACAAACAATTTTTTCTTAATTAATATTTGATGTATATAATTTAAAATGCGTTTAGTGAAAAACTGTTTATTTGAAGTAACAACAGCGTATGTACCGTATTTATATTCATTTGCATGTATTAAAAAACGGTTATTTCAATATTAAAAACAGACCCTCCAATTTTATTTATATGTATAAAGTGTATAGATATAGATTGTATTTTTGCTAATTCATCACTCCATTAAACGTTTTATACCTACATTTGAAGATGTCGCTGCCTCGGTGGTCTAACTGTTCAGCACGCCACCTTTCTTCCAATGATAGCGGTTTCGATTCCTCGCATGATACAAATATTTGTATTCTTGAGTTTGTATAAATTGATTAACATGTTAATATTATATAGCGTCCTCCCCCGACACAAATCTGTGAATATCTCAGCTTTTTTTGTACTATAACACATATATTATACATATAAACCTTCCTCTAGAATCGCTCTATCCATTGCTGAAAACTACATTAAAATCCGTTGCGTAATTTAAAAGATATATGTAAGTGAACAGACAGAGGCTGGGACTTTGTTTTATACTATGTAAAGATGTATCATCTCTGAGATTATCATCATCAGAGTCAAAACTAATGATTGAGTTTTGTTTTAAATAAATACAATTTGAACATAAAAAGAGGTTTTATATAGGTTATATACATCAATTCCTCATGTATATACATACATAGAAAACACCCAGACCGACACAAACATACTTATGAATATAAATGTTTGTGCCGTGAGAGGAATCAAACCCGCAGCCATTGGAAGTAAGACGGTATGTTAAATCGCTAGACCACCGAGGCCGACAAATACAAAACCTCTTTTTTGAAAATCTACTTAAAATCTATTACAAAAGACAAATATGTATTTAATATACCGAATTAAATAAAATTATTCACTTCGCACAAGTAAATCATTAAAAGTAACCATTACGTTTTCAAAATGAAATACCACAAACAAAACTGGACGTCCCTACAGCCTACATAATTTAACGTTTAAATTTTATGTGCATATATACCATAAAAGTGCAGTATGGCGTAGGCTTCACCCTCCCCATGAATAAAATCTTTAATGTGGTCTACGTACACTTGCAGCCACAAAAATGATTCATTGATTTATAAAAAATATTTAAAACGAACTAATGTTTTCTACGTGAACTCATGTACTATAAAGTAACCTGTAGATCCATTTTGTTAGTAACAATAAACTTAGTCTATATAGGTATAGTAACCTACAGGGGTGTAGAAGATTGTTAGTAATGTCAATTCATGACCCCATTACTAGCAATGTACCATGTCAGGTTGACCTCCACGCGGTTTCCCCTGGAATCGTGATAAATTCCTGGTGAATTTGTCACGATGGGCTAACTGACCTGACCTCATGTTCATCTTATCATCCTCCACTGGTGCCCCGCCAGCGTGCGCCGTTAGCGCAGGCGGATGCACCATTCCATTATCATCCGAAAAAAAAACTGTACTTACAATTACTTATTTTATTATTTATGTGCCCCCGTAACATATTTATAGCCTATATTCTTCTGACATATAAGCTATATTACTGTAAAATTTCATCAAAATCCGTTCAGTAATTTTTGCGCGTACTTCGCGTATCTAGAAATGCCAATTGTTAAAGAAGAGATAAAAATGGCTGTGGAACATATACACACAGATTAGCCGGCCATAATAACCAATTAGCTTTATAACTACTGGATACAAATAACTGTACATCTTCACTAAAAAGGGCTCGTCTAGCCTACATCTGAAACAAAAAATTGAGATGGCACCTCACTGGACGTTCCTTATCTCCTATAACACCACTGGCTGGCTGATTTCAGATAGAAAGGAACAAAAATAAGATTATAAACAATTTTTTTTATACCACGTAGGTGGCAAACAAGCATACGGCCCATCTGATGGTAAACGGTTACCGTAGCCTATGGACGCCTGAAACACCAGGGGTGTCACATACGCGTTGCCGACCCTTAAGAAACCTTAATATACCCTTCTTGAAAAACCCCATACTGTAGTCTCGTGAGAAAACCTCGGCAGGTAGTTCATTCCACAATGTAAGTGTACGCGGGAGGAAGCTCCTCTGAAACCGCACTGTCCGAGACCACTTAGGTTTCAGCGTGTGGGGATGAATTCCCTGTCGAAGGCAAGCGGTGCGATGGTAAATCAATTTTTACAAGTGTCAAAGGAATTTAAAAAGATTTAGCTGAAAATATAAATTTTAAAACACTCAATCTCTTGGTCTGAAGTGTATACGCGATCGTAAAATGGTACACCATGAATTGCCAACACCAACCAATCTAGACTCCGCTTTTAATATTTAGTTTTTTTTTATTGCACCGCGCACCGAGAGCGTGGGATCAGGCATTCGAAATATACATTAGAATAGAACCATACCTTTTACTCTATACGACGTTTTAGTGACTGTTTTTGTCATTTAGTATTCAATATATCGGTTGTTAACACGTGTTATTTTGAATTTTGGTATCGGTTCTCTAGCGGTAGTACTGTTTTTCATTACAGTTGCATGAAAAAAAATATCACGAGATTTGATCAACAGATTGGGTCAAGAGAAACTACATTAAACAACCGATATTTCAATATAATATTAACCGGAAATTTACAAATACTGACTTGCTTTATCTCTCCGGTTAGCGTAGTCATAATCTCTCATTACATTGCAAGTTACTTTCCTTTCATTTGCTCGATGAAAGTGGGGATTGCAAGAAGCTTAATCAATAATGGGAAAAATGAAATCTCTATTGTACAGTCTGTGGGACACAATTTCATTAAACACGGTCATTGTTCTAATAGATACTTATCTACATAACGATACTTTTGTTAATCACAACATCACTGTAAGTATTAGTCGTTTATTACACTTTTGTAGGTGTACTGAGCAGTGCGTAATTTGTATACAATGTTTAGGCTGTTTGACCCTACTTCCTGTGCATTCTATTTTTAATTACATAAATAAAGAAAAATATAACAAAACATTTCATTATTCTACAAAATCCCGTATCGCTTAGAACTGGGCTCGCGTCATTAAGATTTATTTCAGCATCTTTATATATTCATATTCATTTTAAAGATTTCACCTGCAAAATTCATACCCACCTCAATTAAATTTACTATTATTATGAACGTATTTCTCTCTTATTTCTCTACATTTCTGTCTTGTACTCTTTCTCCTCCATCTCCCTTAACACAAAACAATTTTAGTGCGAAACTACGAGCTAAAAAAAAGTTTTTTTAGAAAAATTACAGATTGTTACATAAATTAAAATTTGATTTAATTCTCATATGGGTGGCTTCACTTAAAACAAAATAATTCATTCATAAAATCAATCAAGAGGTTTTCTATAATATTTAAAACGACAGATGGTAGTTTTTGTATTCATAAAAACAGTGCTTACTTTTCAAACGTAGATGTTATTTGCTCGATGTTTATTTTTTATGAATTTAACAAGCTGAAGTCCTGATGATAAGCTATAGACGTCGTCTACATACATAAAAAGCACAACGAACATCACGTTATCTTGTAACATTCATGATCCCACCTATGCGATGTCATTTCAGTGGCCTAAGATGCCATGGCTCTACAACCAAAACACGGCTTACAAAGCAAGGTGATTGTTGCTGAAATAGGTGAGAAAGAGGTACGAACGCAGACTAAATGTAGTCTGCAGCCTATAGTGAACTTCAAGTAGATACAGAAATGCAACAATTTATCAATAAAATCATAAACATTTCCACTCCGTTTCGTACAAAATGGTAATTAACAATATATTTGTAATCACATGTAATATATGAGTTGTGTAATCATGAATTACCGCTATTTTTTCATCTTTCAACAATTGGGTCGAGACGCACTAAAATCGCATTTATGATGCTAATGTCTAAAATGTTATTGTAATAGAAATGATAATGATCTGTAAGTGAGATCTCTTTACACAATAAGGTACATATTACCACGGCAGTCTGCCTGTAATCATGAGTATGACCATGGCCTCTCGGTCACAACATTTGCATGATAATTATTTGCGAGTATTCTTCTATTTTTTTTTAACTATCACATGGTTTCGTGTTTTAGAGATGTTTTGTTTTTTTTAACTAATAATTTGAATAAGGAATATTTTTAGAGGCGAATTTGTGAGACGAACTTGACGAAGAATGAATTCAATTGAAATTCCTGTGACAAAGAGGGAAATTCCGAGCAGTTCCCTTGACTTGTGACCCAGGTGTAGGTTTAAGGGGCCCCTTGCCGACGTACTCCAAGCAGTTCTCTGAACTTATGACCCGGGTGTAAGTTTAAGGCGCCCCTTGCGAACATAACTCAACACTCACCTTCACCGCTCGTGTTTCTCTCCCTGCCCAGCCAAATCTGGTAGTAGCCTGCTAGTGCAATTTTAAATACACGTTCTAGTATATAACTTACTGTAGTTCTAGAGAGGCCAATATCTTTTAGAAGATTGTAGAGAGATTTCGCTGGTCCTCTCGCTTCCACTTCGATGAGGTAATTAACTGCGTCACCATTTTTCGTTAATTTGTTTATTAGGTCATGATGTTTATTTATTTTTGTTGGATAGTCATTAGGTATATTGGTTTCCCATGGTGTAGTGAGCTCTAGCGTTAGCTAGTCTTACACGTTTAGTTAATTCTTAATTGAAGGGCAAAACCGGAAAATCTGGGAAACTATATTGTTATTTAATGTATAAAGATTTTAAGACTCTAATGGACATAAAGCTATTGTTATATTTTTTATAGAAATGCCAGCGACGTGGCCTAGTGGTTTTGCTACTCCTAATTACCCCCAAGAGGTCGTAAGTTCAAATCTGTCCGACGCCAAAAAAGCAACTTTATGTGTCAATTTATATTTGATGGTTTGGTCTGATGGTAAGTGGTAACCTACTATCAAAAAACTTGTTTGCCATTCCAATTAAAAAAAAAATCTATCAGATGGCCGTTTTTTAATGTAAATATAATACAAACAAGCATACGGCCCATCTGATGGTAAACAGTTACCGTAGCCTATGGACGCCTGAAACACCAGGGATGTCACATGCGCGTTGCAAAAACCTTTATATACCCTTCTAAAAAAACCCCATGCTGTAGTCTCTCGAGAAATCTCAACAGGAAGTTCATTCCACAGTCTAAGTGTACACGGTAGAACCATCTGATAAACTGGTTTTAGCTTCAGTTCTTTATGATCCCCCTGCCTGATATCAACCCTCCTTCTTTTACAAAGACAATAAGAAATCTTAATATATCCTTCTTGAAAAACCCCATGCTGTAGTCTCTCGAGAAATCTCAGCAGGAAGTTCATTCCACAGTCTAAGTGTACACGGTACAACCATCTGATAAACTGGTTTTAGCTTCAGTTCTTTATGATCCGCCTGCCTGATATCAACCCTCCTTCTTTTACAAAGACAATAAGAAATCTTAATATATCCTTCTTGAAAAACCCCATGCTGTAGTCTCTCAAGAAACTTCGGTAGTTCATTCCACAATCTAAGTGTACGCAGGAGGAAGCTCTGAAACCATTTGCTTGCCTTTTCAGTCCCACATAAAAGAACTGCCAATGAGTACGAATTTATGTAATTCTCAGCTTAGTGTCAAGTTTGTCAAGTAAATATAAGTACAAGTATTGAGGTAGCCCGGTTATAAGACACACTTGCATAAGCCACACATGTAATAACCGCTAATTAATTTTGACATGTTCGGCACGTGATATCTATAGCGTGGACAAGGAAATCTATATATACACTAGATTTACCCGCGGTTTCGTTTAAATAAATAAATAACGCTGAATAATTAACACGCGCCATCTAGTCCCACAGTAAACAGAAGTTGTGTTATGGGTATACTAGATAATTGATATAAATATTTCGATATATTTTTAAATACATACATAATTTACATAGATAACATCCAGACCGACACAAAGAATTATACTCATGAATATAAATATTTGCACAGTGCGAGGAATCGAACTCGCGACCATCGCGTAAAGTGGTCTGCTAAGCCACCGAGGAATCAAACTCGCGACCATCGGAAGTAAGGAGGTGTGCTAGATCACTGAGGCCGTTTATTAATATAAATAAAATTACCAAAATAAACATATACATACCTATGTAGGTACAACTACGAACATATATAACACTAGCAATCTGTGAATAAAAGTCCTGTCAAAATCGGACCAACCTTTTGACAGATTAGCGAGAACAAAATGTTTTTCAATAAGTTTTTTATGTAAGTAATATTTTCTTACGCACTTCAATTTAATTTGTAGAGAACCGGAACATGAACAAACGATCTTACTAATCATGAAGCATATCCCAAAACCAATAATTTGACAGCCTCGAGGTCTAGTGGTTTAGCACACCGCTTTACTGTCCGATGGTCGTGGGTTCGGTTCATCAATATGATTGTTTGTATCGGCCTGATTTTTTCTATGTATATTATGTATTTATTAAAAAAACGTATACATGTATATATATCAGTTGTCTAGTACCCATGACACAAGCTCTGCTTAGCTTGGGACTAGATGGCGCTGTGTGAATTGTCTGGAGATATTATTATTATTATTTCACTGTGGACCACTATGCAAAATACAGGCTGAGTTATACTTTCAATTAAATTCGAATTTAATTATTAAATATTAACTAATCCATGACGTTAACGAGGAAATAAAAAATATTTCGCAATCTTTTCGCATGTCATAACACTGAATATATATTATTAAAATAAGTACTAAATTATTACAGAACTAAAAACCTCTTTAACTAAATTACAATATATATGATTTATAGTAACTATTGACAGTTGTTTCATAATAAAAATTCGTGTTTTCATTCGTATAACACGATCACTTTGTTTCCGCATGCTTAATTAATTTGTGTTCGAATTAATACAATCGGAATGATATAAAAATATCCGACATGTCACTCTTTCGTATAATCATTGAATCAGTATTAAAAACCATTCCTTACTATGTCAGTAGGTATATGAATTCAAAACGAGAACATAAATAATTATTAGGTAACTTATTAATTATTTACTTATTTATTTTAGGAAGATTAACGGTGTAATTTTACATGTTACTTATCATATTTAATCGCCATATGCAATTAATAATCTTCGCCAATAGTGTTACTAGACTAAATTTTTCATTATCCAATTTTAACAAATCAAAGTAATCACGTGACAGTGTTTTAGTTGTGGTTTATACAGTACAAGTAAACAGACCAACATACCAACAAGTAATGATGTATTATATAGGTGTTGCCAATTTTATAAATATTCAAATTCAAATTCAAAATTGGACAAAGAATTAGTCTTGCTATTCAAAGAGGGAACGCTGCCGGTATATTCGGAACTTTGCCTAAAGGGACCCCTTTTAATAATATATTTTAGTTATTATATTATATTTTTTAAGCTTTTTAATTTTAGGTTCTTAGTTGTACAATTAAGTTATGTAAATAGTCTAAATATACATGTATTTTAAACAGTACTCATAGATACACTATATTACATATAAAATAAATTCAAAATATTTTTATTTATGTAGATCTATTACAGACTCTTATGCTATGTCAAATTTCCAGTCAGTTTGAAATGATTTCGAGGTGAGAAGAGCTGACAAGAAACTCAGCTCATATTCTTTCCAAATGAGCGTAGTAATGAACTTATGCATCACACTACTCAGGCGAGTCGTAAAACTTTACCAGATGTCTACGTTGCAGCAATATTTATTATGTTTTACATGTTTACAATAGTACAAATACATTTTTAAATTCAAATTTGGGGAAATAGAGACCACCAGCATATGTTATTGCAAAAGCAAATAGTCTGAACAGTGTTCGTGATCCGAACAGACCAGTCTCCACAAGCAGCACCCGTTCGCGAGTATGAGCCAGCCATCATTACACTTAACCATATTAGCACATTGACCCGGCCCACCACGCCGCCACAAGTTTGGACTTTACAGCGAGCTTGACTGTTTCAAGTTACTCCACTACGTCATTTATAGTATACTAGCTTTTGCCCGCAGCTTCGCTTGCGTTAATTTATCCCCTTATGGGTGGAAATTATCAAAATCCTTTCTTAGGGGATGCCTACGTCATAGTAGCTTTATGCATGCAAAGTCTCAGCCCGATCGGTTTAAAATTGACAAAGTTTCATATAAACTTTCATGCCCTATTTTATCCCCTTGGGGGTAGAATTAAGCCTGAGATACCGTCACGTGCGCGTTACCGACCCTTAAGAAACCTTAATATACCCTTCTTTAACAAACCCTAGTGAATTTGTCACGATGGGGGCTAAATGACCTGACTTCATCTTCATCTAATCCTCCTTCACTCATGTCTCTCCAGTGCAAACCTTTAGCGCAGGGGGGAGGGGATTGTTAGTAATGTGGATTGATAACCCCATTGCTAGCAATGTACCATGTCATCTTCATCGTGTTAAATTCCTGGTGAATTTGTCACGATGGGCTAACTCCTCTGACTTCATGTCTCTCATCACTGGTGCCCCTCCAGCGTAAACCGTTAGCGCAGGCGGGTGCACCATTTCATTATCATCAATAAAAAAAAAAACCTTTAGCGCAGGCGAATGCACCATTCCATCATCACCATTTAAAAAATCCAGTATAGGTATGTATTTAATTTAATAACACACTACTTGAGCTAAGAGGTGATGAAATATGTCATGTGGTCACGCTGCCTTGATCTTCACCTGCTGTGACATTTGTAATTTGTTTATCTCTATGAGCTGTTAACCTCGGCAAGTACGAATACCAGATATGCCGGTTTCTGTAGGAACTAGTAAAACCCTTTTTCAGTTCATATCTTTGTCATTTTAAATTATATAGGAGGTTTAGAGTCTTGTCTTACCTATGGTCGTAGGTTCGGTACCCGCACAATGCAAATGTGCTATATATTCAAAATTACAAAATTGAAAATATCTTTATTCATGTAGGTCTATTACAGACTCTTATGATATGTCAAATCTACCGTCAGTTCGGAATGATTTCGAGATGAGAAGAACTGACCAGAAACTCAGCTCGTATTTTTTTAAAATAAATGTTGTACATAGTTACAATAATACAGATTCATTTAAATTCAAATTTGTCCCCTTATGGGAGAATAGAGTGACTACCAGCATATGCTGTTGCAAAAAACAAAAAATCTAATTAGTGTTCGCAACCTGAACAGACCTATTAATTTTTATTATCTGTCTGGGAGTGTTCTGGGTATTTCTTCTTATTTTTATAAATACACACATATATAATGTATGTATTTATAAAAAAAGTAAGAAGTATATTTCCTAGTTTTCTAGTACCCTACAGCTCTGCTTTTAGTTTCTAACTATATAACCTTTGTCTAATATCCATTTCATTTATCTGTCTAGGTGTATTTCTGAGTATATTATGTATTTATAAAAAAAAATTAAGTACATTTGTCAGTTGATAAACCACCTGGATAACTTGTAGTGTGAGTATAAAATGCTGATGAAAATGTAAATTTCTACTTTTATAACATATATAATTTTAGCTGTTCGTTACTGTGCCTGTGATTCAGTTATAAAAAACAAACTTTTTCTAGAATATAGTTGTATTACATAATTTGTTTATGGTTCTGTTTGTTCTTTTTTTAAATCATTTGCGACATATAAACTATAGACGATAATTATGTTATAAATTGAACTGCGTTCTTTTATGTGTAAAACTTTCGTCAGTCGCCTATATTTCGCAAATTATTTAGAATTCAGCATTTTTAGGATATTTGCGGATATGAATATTAAATCAAGTGTAAAATATATCTAATTAAGGAGATATATCTGTATGCTCGTTTATTTTTCACTACACTAGTCACGATGTCCGTATAACCGGTCTGGTTGCACCGATAGACAGATTACAACCTAGATTATGGATTAGCACGCGATTATTATTATTAACTCTAGCCCGCAAATTAACTTTATCTTATTTTTTAATATATATCAAAATCAATGTAACTTTCTTTACATAGGTCAAACTCTTAAATAGAGTTACAAACTCTTAAATACCAAATCTAAAGTTTATAGTGCTTTCAAGCTAAGAAGAACTGACAAGAAACTCATGTCTTATTCTTTTGTAATGAGCTTGTATATGATTGCAAAAGTTAAGTTTCATTAATGTATTGATTTTTTTTTTTATTTTATTTAAATGAAATAGTATCATTGTAAATATGTACAACATTAAAAAAAAATACGAGCCGAGTTTCTTGTCAGTTCTTCTCATCTCGAAATCATTCCAAACTGACGGTAGATTTGACATATCATAAGAGTCTGTAATAGACCTACATGAATAAAGATATTTTGAATTTTAATTTTAATTTGAATAAATTACACTATTTACTCTAATGCTAAAATTTCTCCAATTAATTAATGAGTGTTACGTACAAATTATACTGGTATTAGTTAGCATTGGATTAGCACCCAATTGTGTCACCGGCTCCGTTTCCACTGGAGTAGGCGCGTTCACGCATTAACTTCTCCGTCTTTGCACGCGACGCGCGCATCCGTCTGCGCGCTCCGAATTTTTCGCGCCATCGCGAAATCTGTTCGTGCGTTCTTTTTTCAAACTCTCATTTCGAACTGGCAGTTATCACTAGAAAAAACAATGACTAACGGGTTTTTCAACTGATTTGCGCGCCATTTGTGTAGTGATGTGATGATATTAATAAATTGGTGAAAATCTAATTTTCCTTTTGTGAAATGAAACGTGCGGTATGAGTTTGTATTTATACAGATGGATGGGTATGACGCTTGGCGCGTATCATGGTGCCTCAATTGGCTTTATCTATACTGTTGTTAAAATATGTAGACAGATACATAGTTAATTACCTCGTACAAGGTCAGATAAAAATATCAAACGGAGCTAACTGGTGTAGTCTAATGTTAAAACACTGAACCTGAAAACATTATCACATTATTTGCAGTCGACGCTACTAGGTATCTGTATCTTCCTCTTACACAGATCTCTATTAGCCGTCTTGTCTGAAAACACTCTCCTTTTATCCATTTATTTTATACAGACACTGTTTCTTCGGTACATATACAATTTACAATTATTTCATTAAATATATTACTAAATACCTATATCACGAAATTGTGATATCACTATAGAGCGAACATCGAAAGTACTTAGTCAAAATTAAAAAAAAATATTTCGAACTCGATCCGTCAAAAGAATTAATTTTCTTTGTGGCCTGGAAGCTAAGTTTTTTTTTTTATTATAAAGCAGTTAGGAAATTTTTGTGTCACTAATGTATTTATTCTAAATTTAAAATATATTAACCTTTCTTAAATATTACATTAAAGTAGAGGGGCCGGTCATTTATAACAAAATGAGTTTTATATGAAACTGTTTAAAATTCTTTTTCATTTTCTTAGCATTTTGCAAGCGATTAATTTTAAATATTTCATATGGGCAGTCTCAATTTTTAATACGTATTATTTATTTGCTAAATGAGTAATGTGAGATATAGTCACACCAATTATAGTATTCTGTTTCCCCTTAATTGGTTCAGAACTCTAAAAATGAACAGGAATGTCTATGAACGTGAGAATATGTAGATAAACATACAGCACGCCTAACATGATATATGCACATTCTTACACATAGTACATACATAGTTGTATATAGTTTATTAACCGATATAGCATAAACACAAATTTCGATGAAATTTACTACAACACATTACCGAAATACGCGAAACGGTAATGCAATTTCTTCACAGAAATAGACAGACAAACAGACAAAAGTTATAAAAAATATTGTATGTATAATATAATGAACACATTTGTTCTTCTCATCGGTACCATTTTTACTGTATAGATACATATATAGATACATATATATGTGTACAGTAAAAATATATGTAAAATACATATATACTCCTATTTATTATATACCTTACTTATCTGTGTACTTCTATTATCATATAAGTACTCATTAAGTAAATAATATGGTCCTTAGTTTATATTCAGTTTAACTATACCTTATTACATAAAATATCTATACACGAACTGTATGTGAAAGAGGTGAAACATGTGCGAAAGAGACAGATAGTAATGAAACGGGGGGAAAAAGAAAATAAAGAAGTAGAAAAATAAACAACTCAATGTGGAGTTAGAAATAAAATATTAAGGTGTGCGAGCGAGAGTACAGAAACGAAGAAGAAAATAAACGAGTAACAAATTAAACAATTAAATAAAGAGTTAGGAATAAATAGAAAATTACGGTACAAGGAAAATCTGATTATTTTGCTCCGAGGCATTATTAACTTTCAACGCTGTAAATATTTCTCTTACAACATATATGTATTTGAATACAAAGTGACAGGTTTTGAGCCTACCACGCTGTATCTCTAATTAATTTGTTTTTTAAATAAATTATAATAGTATGATACACTCGCCTGCGCTAACGGTATACGCTGGCGGGGCACTAGTGGAGGAAGATGGGATAAGTATAAAGTGAGGTCAGTTAGCCCCTCCGATCGATCCCCGTCCAATTCAAACGGGGATCAAGATTACTACGGCCTAAGTAGGGACTGGTCTGCTCTAATCACTATGACTGATTTCCTCTTATTAATTGTTTGACCAGTTGGTTATATATTCAATATTTTTTCTATTTGAGTGTCTAATTGAATTAGTGCCAATTGGTGATTTCTATTCACACACTTAAACTTAAAAATGTAAAGAAATAATAAAATTATTTAAAAGAGCAACACGCAAGTTTCTTGCTCGTTCTTCTTGTGATGAGACAGGTTTCCGAATGAGCGGTAGATTAAAAAATGTAATGACTATTCAAAGGTGCTTCAATGTAAGTTTATTTGAATAAATGATTTTCTATTCTATTCTATTCTAAGCCGAGGTGCGAAACGGAAGTGGTGCCTTCAAACTATAGTCGTATCTGTCAGGTAGGAGTTGCTCTACAGCCGCTCCATAAGTCTTCCGTGGATTTGGACAGTATTAGAATTATGCGAAAGCGTCCATGGACCTCATTGTGTATTCTTCAATAATTAACCACGAAGATTCTAGAAACCATACCATTAATTCCTGGAACCTATAAGACGCATATGTGACTAATGAAAGTATGATTATAAACTCAATTCGAAACGCTTTACGGTGTAATTTTAAATGCACGTGTTCGTGTTATGTACATTCTTTTATTTATACGACCAGAAAAATAAGCAAAAATCTTTATATCCTAAATAATTAGAACTAATTATAATATAATTTATGTTATATAAATATAATATATACTTTAAACATACACATATATATATATATATTGAAATATATAAATTATACAGTGAAATATAGGCAATGTACATTCATTTATACGGAAAAATAATTTTATATCGAACTAATTATAAAAGCGAAAGTCTCTTTTTTTTTGGTCTCAGTTTTATTATTGCATAGTGATGATCACTTTCCATCAGTTGAGCCGCAAGCTCGTTTACTTGCGGCTCACCTGATGGTAAGTGATTACCGCCACCACCTGCAACATTAGGGGATTTGCAAGTGCGTTGCCGGCCTTTTAACAAAGAATAAGCTCTTTCTTGAAGGTTTTGATATCGCATCAGTATCTAGAAATTATTTATTTATTTTCACACTCATAGCTATTATTACAGGTCTTAGCCTAATACAATAGTGTAGCAAACATTATTTTTTAAATTAGTTGTAGTTCCCAAACTTTTTTGTGTCGTAGACCCTTGCCATATTTTTCGGTTTTGGGTAGACCCCCCATTCTTACCTGGTATTGAGTTTTTATTTCTAACTGTAGTAAAGTTTAGTATTCAAAACATAAAGTAAAAAGAACAAGATGATAGCTGTCGTAGACCCCTTGCAGTTTGTCATAGATCCCTGGGGGGATTATCTGGTCTAGATAATGGGAAAGTGAGTGCTATTCAGCTATTCATGATGAATAAGATGACCGCTGTCGTAGACCTCTTGCAGTTTGTCATAGATCCCTGGGGGTCGATATAGGCCATTTTGGGAATATCTGGTCTAGATAATGAAAAAGTGAGTTTGTATATATGTTATACTTTAAGAAACATCTTGAATAGCATAATACAGCTTTTTACTATTTAGTATTCTCTTATCACTTCTCTATAGATGCGAGCAGCGCAGGACCGATCGTCTTGGAGATCTTTGGGGAGACCTATGTCCAATAGTGGATGTCTTCCGGGCTGCGATGATGATGACGATTATCGAATGGTGCACCCACTTGTGCTAACGGTTTACGCTGGCGGGGCACCAGTGAAGGATGATAAGATGAGCATAAGGCCAGGTCAATTAGCCCATAGTGACATATTCATCAGGAATTTAACATGAGGGTTTCCAGAGGGAACCGTGTGGTGATCAACCTAACATTGCTAGCTATAGAGTCATCAGTCGTCATTACTATTAGTCCCCTTCCTTCCCCATTTCACTAATAATCCCCTTTTCCATTGATCTCCACCCCACGCGGTTCCACCTGGGGTTTCCAGAGGGAACGGCGGCGTGGAGATCAATGGGTTCATTATTCCACATTACTAATTATCCCCCTCCCCTCTACTATATTTGTTTCCTGTTTATTTTAGACTTGTTTTATCTGCCCAATAAATACTGTATCACGGTTTAGTAGCCTTTGCCTTATAAACCCAGGAAAATAAAGATATAAAAATGTCAGAGGTTACAATAATATGTATTTGTATGTTGTAGGTATAATATCAACATACACAAGTTCCAATTTTGTTAATCTATATCTTCATAATGTCTAATATTCATTAATATTACGAATTCAATCAATTATTCAAATAGGACCTTACAGCCTCTAGCGCACGTCATATTTTTAAACGTACCGTACCGTCCAAAACTGAAAATGAGTTTATTTCTCACTATTTTAATATCTATTTATGAAATTTGATGTATACGATTTGAAACAAATGTATAGAACGAAATTTAGGGATGTCAAGTGTTGCGTCCACGGCTATCCCCTTCGATCGAACCCCGTCTAATTCAAACGGGGATCGAAATTTCGACGGCCTGAGGCGAGACTAAAGTCGTATCCGTCAGGCGGAAGTTGGCCTTCAGCCGCTCCATAAGTCCTTCTGCAGGTTTGGAGTGCCATCTGCAACGCCCTATCGACCAACAGCATTAGAGTAGTCCGAAAAAAATGATCACCAAGACGAATTGTCATCACAGATGAGATAGTGAACTGATGACCAGTTCACTATCTCATCTGTGATGACAAATAAATAAATAATAATAATAATAATCAGTCGTGACGGTGAATAATTATTAATTAAGATAAACACTAATTAGCATAACTGCGTACAGTTGTTTTTTTAATAAATTAATATTATGGACTCAGTTTGTCCAATCCCAACGTGCAATGTGAAATTTAATAATATATTCAGTTAATTTTGACGGTATCGTTAGTCTAGTGGCTCAGCACACCGCTTTATTTTCGATGGTCACGGATTCATGTGTATAAATATTTGTATATTATACATATGTAGAATGTTTTCTACCAGACCGATATATGTATATATTTAAGCTTGTACAGTAATTTATGAATGTCATGGCAAGCCGTAATTAAGCTAATAGTGTCTATAAAGACGTTAGGAATAATCGCAATTAATTGTTTATAGACATAACCACAGTAGAGGTATTGTTATAAGCTATAAATAATAGGTAATAACCATTTTCCAAGCTATAAACATTAATTAAACAAT